AAAAAAAACTTATTCCACAAAAGTAAATGAATAAATAAAATTTAAAAAAAGAAATACAATTGGCCAGTAGGATGTTACCTAATGTTAATAGTTGTGGGGGAGGGGGCCAGCCAAATAGCTCAGCAGATTAAAGTGCCTGCAAGCAGGCTCAGGCCAGGGGTCTGAGCCCTGGGTCTGCCATGCCAGCCCCTGCACCCCCTGCACTGAGACAGTGCCAGCTGCCCCCCCCATACTGAGACAGTGATGGAGACTGGGCGTGGTGACGCGCACCTGTAATCCCAGCTCTTGGGAGGCTCACAACAGGCGGATCACTATGAGTCTGATCTAGTAGTGAGGCCCTGAACACCATGTAGACCCTTCCCTAAAATACAAAAAAAAAAAAAAAAAAGTTGAGGGCGAGTGAAGATCCTTCTTGGTCTCTAGCATTCCTTCCCTTTTTTTCTTCCTTTCTATATAGAGTAGTATCACTCTAAAGTAAAGATCTTTGTTGGGCATGGTGGCACACACCGGTAATCTCAGCCCCTGGGAGGCTAAGGCAGGAGGATCATTGGGAGTTGGAGACCAGTCTGGGCTACAAGACAAACTCAAGGCCAGCCTGAACTGCATAATGAGACACTATCTCAAAAAAAGACAATCAATAAAATAAAGGTCTTTAAGGGAGAAGAAAGACAGTGACTTTCCAAGTATTGTGACTGCTTTTGAGGCAGGGGCTTTGCTTTCTATGACTTGCCTTAACTAAGAATTCTGTGACTCACTTTGGGGAGGGACAGAGGGTGGGATGGGAGGAAGGGATGAAGGCATGAGACAAGGCCAGGGAGACTATTGCCTGTTTTTGCTGTTTTTTAATTTTGAGACAGAGTCTCATTGTCCTGCATAAGCCTCCAGAGTACTGGGATTGCCAGCATGTGCCACTGCACCTGCTTGTTCCTGGATTTTGGAAACAAGGTCTCCAGGGCTGGACTTGAACTCACTCTGTTGCCCGATCTCCAGCTTCCGCCTCCACATGCCTGGCTAAGACCTTGTTTCTGAACACCTCCTCGTCTTTAGCTCAAAGTACAAATGACAAGTGCCATATCTCTGGGTTTCATGCTCTGACTCCTGATGATCTGTGCAGATTTTAAACTATGTTAAGGGGCTGGGGAAATAGCTCAGTAGAGTAAGTGCTTGCCTAGCAAGTGCAAGGGCCTGCAGGGGGGGGGGGGCAAAAAACTAAACTATGTGGCTTAGCCCCCAAGTGGCTAAAGGGTGTCCACTTGCCTCTGTGCATTCTTGCAACCTGCCATAGGACTCAAGAAGGCCTCAGCAAAGCTAAGCTAGTACCAGCATCATGCCACTGAACCTTCAAAACAGTGAGCTAAATGAACCTCTTTTTCTGCTTCAGGTTATTTTTATTTATTTTGCAGTACTGGGGATTGAACTCAGGGCCTTGTGCTTGCCAGGCAAGCGCTTATTCTACTGAGCTATCTCCCCAGCTCAGGTATTTATTTTTGGAACAAAAAGTGATTGACATAGCATCTACATAATGGCTCTCTGGGCCTATGATTTCAGAGGACTTGAGCCTGATTAAAATTGCCAAGCATTAGAAAAATCTCTTCAGAGTGAAATTCATCCCTTTCTTCAGCTGAGTGTGTAAGGATCCCCTAGACAGGGTTAGCACTACTGTTCCCACATGCAGCTCTTGAGCTTTTGCTAGCCCCGAGCCCACTTCAGCCCAGTCAGACCCTCAAGTGCCATGTTCATCCTCACCATTGGCCTAACATGGTGTGTTTCTTGGCAGCAGTTCAGAAACAGGCTGGTGCTAGAAGCGCTGGCAAGCTCCGAATGGGCCTGAGTATTGGATTAATAATGTGTTTAGTTATTGCAGGCTGCCCACAATCTTCCCAATGAGTGCATAGTGAAGGTTTAGATGAGACAGGGCTGGGGAGATAGCTTGGCAGCATAAGAATCTACCTGGCAAGCACAAGGTCCTGAGTTCAATGCACAGGACCAGTACTGTGGGGGGGAAAAAAAAAAAAAAGATACAGAATGACTTTACGGCTCCAGGGTTTTTTTTTTTGGTGATACCAGGGTTTGAACTCAGGCCCTTGCGCTTCCCAGGGAAGCACTTATTCTACTGAGCCATCTCCAGGTCCCTCCAGGAATATTCTAACCCTCTGACATTCTTTTTTTTGGGTGGGAGGTTAGAACAAACAACTTTTCTGGGCTACCCATATTTATTAGTTTTTCAAACAAAGAAGGGGGAGATTGAAGAAAATACAGGAATCTGGGCAGGACTAGGGAATTCCTTTAAGGACTTTCTCAAATAATACATTATGTTAATATATGAGAACACTCATCTCCAGGAAGGCCTCTGCTGAAGATGCTTGCCCGCTTGTAGCTACCCTATTTATCTAGCTAACTGAGGTTGGAGCCAGGTGTCCTTAGCTGTGACCTTGCCTTGTCCATTGAGGCCTCGTGGCTTCACCTACCATTACAGGCCTCAGTGGGACCAGTGACTCACATAGGTTCACTTACTGAGTTTGTTTTTCTGGGCCTTGGGCATACTCACAAATAAACATGAAAAGCCAATTGGTTAATATTAAATATTACTCAGAGACACTTCACAATGGTGGTCTCCATCACCCCAGCCAGGTGCTCAGATACCCAATTGTCTAGCACAGAGCGACCAGCCTATCCCAGATCAAGTGCAGTGAGACTCCGGCCATTCTGTGCTTGGGTCACCAACAGTGGTAAACTCTGCCCTTCTGAGCAGATGGGCCTGGCCTGCCTGATGGGGTATCACAGGGACCTCTGTCTCACCGTATTTCTGTCATAATATATGACAGGATGGCCCAACTGGAACAAGAGTACTATTATTTAGATAGGTCAGTAAGCCTGCAGGCAGAGGCTGTAGCTGCTACTTGACATCCTGCGCCTGCCTGTCAGGATGCAGGATGGAACAATGCTCCTTTGGCTGGCTATGGACTTT